GTTTATCATTTAACGGTTTTCTGAAGTTCAAATTTTGTAACGGTCGCATGCATTTGAAAGTATCTTAAGTTACAGTAAAATCATTAATTATAGTATAAATAACAGTCTGTTGCAAAAAAATTTCATTTAAAAAGGATTTGTAATTCAACGGTTTTTTGAGATTCAAAAATTTTTAACGGTAGAAATAAATTCGAATTTCTAAACGCTCTCATCACGTGGTTTTGTTTATGAAATATAAAAATCATTAATTACACTATAAATACACCTTTTTAGGACTTTTAAGCATTCGATGGGCCGATAAATCGATAGTAAAGAAGCTATTAAAGCAAACCCCAGCTCTCTACGAAGTCTGGATAAAAAGTTTTTTTCAGACGAACGAACAAAGTGAGTTTTTAAGCTACCTTTTCGAAACAAGTTTTAAAAATGCGCTAAAAAGCAAAGCAGAAGCTTCAGAAAATTGTTAACAAAGCATTTGAAAAATTCTAAATAGAGGAAGAATTCACGTCGATTTTTATTTAACCTTTTGGAAAACATAACACAAGTCTGAATGGTTCATTATCCTTTAAATTTATTTTTTGCTTAAGATTCTATGAGTTTGAGAAGTTCTTGATTGTGTTTTATAGAAATTGAGTGACTAAAGCGCATTTTAAGAGTTCAATCTGAGGATTGCTAAGTAAACACATACACATGCTCTTATAACTCTACTCTTTGGTATATTCTAATTTAAACCAGAGTTTGAGTGGGTTAACCCTAGCACAGGGATGGTTAACCTATGTGCCGCGGCACACTAGTGTTCCACGAAAAAATTCTTAAAGCCCCAAGAATCGTTTGCTGTGTACGGTTTTGGTTATGATTTAAAAAAGTTGTTCGTGTTATGAAAAAGGTTGTAAACCACTGCCCTAGTGTATACCCATCAGTTCCTAGTGCAGGATAGATGCCAGACCTCTAAACCATTAGTAAATCAGAAAGCCCAATTAGTCAGACAGACAAAACAACACAAACAAAGCTATTTCTAAATTCTCAACAGAAAAGCGTAACAAATTCCTTAATTTACCATAAAATGTCAAGTTGGTTCCACTTTCTGCAATTAAATTGGAATTTTTATTTTGTGAATAATTTGAATTTTTTTCCCTGCAACCTTCCGACGTGATTTATTAATAATTATCTTGAGTTGGGTTTGTCTGTGTCTTTAAGCAATTGCTGCTTCTTTCCCTTCCAACACAACAATTTACATGCAATGATATTTCTATTTTAATATCTAACTGTCTGTTTTGTAATTCTGCTTATTATTGTGCTATTTTTCTACGTCTTACAGAGGGTTGAATGCCTTAAATATTGAACTAATTTATTCATGATAGCAATTAACATGGAATTTCTTACGTTGTTTGTAGCTTTTCAGACATTGAATGTTTTAAATATTGATTGCTTTGGAATTTTTTTGGGGGGGGGGGGGATAACAACATGATGGGCAACATTTTTGATGGAAAATTTCTGTCAGTTCTTATAAAGTTCAAAATTTTGATTAGGAATGGAGAAGACTTTATAAGTAATTCCACAGCAATAGGGTTATTTAACATAATTTTTCCTCATCATGTTGTTTCCCCCCTCGTTTTTACAAAGAATTTCTGATTTATGATAGTTGCATTTTTGTTTGTTTAGATGTTATTTTGAACTTTTATTTCAACATTGAAACTATTTGAATCTAGGCTCTTTGGGGCCCGTTCAGTTATTCCGTAACGAAAAATAACTACTTTTTAAACCCTGTTTTCCCCTCTTGTAACAAAGTGTACATAAAAAAAATTTCTTATGTTTGAACCGTAACAAAGTCTTCGCCCTTAGAAGCGTTACGTAATAAGTGAATGATCCCTTACTGCAGTGATGTCCAAACTTTTTTGAGCCACGGCACAACTTAGGGTTAAGCCACTACCAAAGTTGCACACAGCATGCGGTTCGCGTCATTTACAAAAAAATTCTACGGAACACCAACGTGCCGCGGCAAATAGCTTCGACAACACTGCCTTACTTATTCCTCACTTTAAAGTCATGCTATCTTGTTGTATTTCATCGATTGTCAATTCAGTTGATTGGTGCCTAGGGAAGCCCTAGTAGTCAGCTCTGATCCAAATCTTCGCAAAACATCAACTAGAACCAAAGTTTTATTAAAAACTGAAAAAAGAAAGTTCAGTTCTCAAAGAAATATTCTCAAAGGCTTCAAAAAGTTCAAACCCTTTGCATAATTTCAAAAGAATCGCATTTTTGCAAATTCATTCGCAATAAAAGCTTTTAAGCATTAAGCAGATTTACTTTTTCAGGTTCGTTTACAGTAAATAAGAATTTTTCAAGCTTATTTTCTCAAATTCTATAAAAAATAATAAATTCAAGCACAGAAAATTTGACTCGAATTTGAATCATAAAATCTCTCAAATTGGATCAGAAATTCCTTTATAAAATTACATTTTGGATGTATGAAGATTGTCTACGTCAGACTTACTTATTGGCTGTAAAAATTTAATTTCAGTCTGAATTAAATGTTATGAATTATAAAGCATAATTACTTTGAAGATTTTGAGTATGTAGCTACAGAACTAGAAGCCACAAAACTCATCTTTCGTATTTTAAATCAGATTTTCAACTCTTTTGGGCAATAAATATTAAATTTATTTTAGTTTAATGGTTTATTATTATTCAAAAACTAGTTTACTACTTTTACATGCAAAATAGATAGAATTTTGTTGGGTACGGAATGAGGATGTATATAAAATAAATATTTTCATAATGTACACACTGATCTTCATCTATACAATGTTTTTATGCATAAGTAAACCTCATCAATTTGCTCAACAGTCGGCTAAAATGAATAAACATTTTAGGCCTTTTTATCCCCTATTTACTAGACTTGTATCAAGTTTTATCCTTGTTCGTTCTTCTCGTTTTTGTGAGTTTATTGTCTGTTAGAGATTCTGAAGTTTACAAAGTTTTAAGCTTCAGATATAAGTTCGAAATTAAGAAAACCGTTAAAACTAATTTGAAAACCAAAAAAAAACATTGAAATTTGACCATCAAAAACCGTTGAAGTTTGAAAACCAAAAAACTGCTAAAATTTGAAACTCAGAAAACCGTTAAAATTAAACAATAGTTAAAAATTTAAAACTCAGAAAACAATTAAAATTTCAAAATAAAAACTGTTAATATTTGAAAATAAAAAAAAACCGATAAAATTTGGAAATTTAAAAAACCGTTAAAATTTAAAAATAAAAATACCGTTAAAATTTAAAAATCAGAAAACCACCAAAATTCAAAAATCAGAAAATATAAATTTCTAAAAAGTCAACACTATCGTAACTCTCCTAATCCTTAAAAGATTTTTCAATTCAGTTTTAATAATCATCAAAAATAATTCATATCTAGCTCATCATTAAAGAACTTGTCGTAGTCATGCTATTCTATTTTATTTACATAAATTTTCATTATAAGACATACAAATATGCCTATTTATATTCATTTTTGTTGCATCATCCTTACTATATATGTTCATGTATCTATCAGAGATTTATTTTGATGAATAAATGATCATAGGGAAATTGTTGAACGTGATTATGTTGGCATAAATGTTTTTTGTGGAAACATATTACAATATTTTCAAGAGATAGCATATGGAAGGAGATGAAGATTGCATGTTGTGAAAAGTTTTCAATGTTTTGTAAAATAAATCGTGTTAAGCTTTGATTGAGATGTGGATCAGGCTGAATAGATGCTAAGATAAGTGTAAAAAAATGAAAATTTTAACGGTTTTTTGAAATTCAAATTTTTAAAAATCCGTTAAAATTCAAATTTTAAAAATCTCTTGAAGTTCAAATTTTATAAATCTGTTTATATTCAATATAATTCAAATTTCAAAAATTCGCCAAAGTTCAAATTTAAAAAAAAAACGATGAAATTCAACAAATTTTAAAAGTTATTTTTAAAAAATAGAGTTTTTATTATTTGCTGGTTTCTAAAATTTCCGTCTTTCTAAATTCTATTTTCTAAATATTCAAAATACATCACAAAATCCATGTCTGTAAAGGCTTGAAAATATAAATTGCTGTGTGGTCGAATTTTAATTAACCATATTCATGCTTCCCCTTGTCTTGAATGAATATTTTTTGTGCTATTTTCTTCAACTTTTATTCCGACAGATTGTTCTTCTTGTTCTATTTGCTCATATGTAGCATGAGCAAAAGTTGAAAACATGTGTTATGGATGCTTTCCTCTTTTCAAAAATCTTATAGATTAATTCTTCTCATATTGTGTGAATCTTCTTCCTTCCGTTCATGAATATTCATGTGTGAAGCTTTTTCATGCTGATTTTTATTGATTGTGGAATAAAAAGGATTTTTCGGATTTTTGTGGTTTATTTTAGTTGGTTTTCAATTATTAAAATTTAAATTGAATTTAAAATAATTTAAACTTTTCAAATTGAAAAATAAAAAAGTAAAAACTTTAATTTTTTCGAATTTTTATTTAAACTTAATTTTTTGTTTTTGTTTTTAATTTAAAAATTTGTTAAAATGTCAAAAAAATTAAACTTTTAAAACAATTGCTAGAAAACTTTTTAAAAAAATTGTAAAAAAGTTTAAAATAAATTTTAAAATTCAAAAATCTTCAAAAAAATTTAAAATTCAAAAAATCGTTAAAATTTCACAATAAAAGTAAAAAATTTCAAATTAACAAGTTTTTAAAAGATATTTTTTTTGAATCTTAAATCTACATTTTAATCTTACCCAAGGCAAAAAATAATGAATATTCATAAAACCTTCCCGTCAAAAAAAAGAGTCCGCAGAAACAAAAATAAAAAAAAATATGAAAAAGAATTTTTGATTGAACATTATGAAAAATTATTCAAAAAGGTTTGTACCTTCCTCAAAAGCATTCTTCATCTCCAAAAACAAAAAAAAGATTATTTGCATTTATTTCAATATGTTTTCACTCAAACTTAACAACCCACTCTCTTTTTACAGGATTGGCAATGACTGGCGAAAGCGTTGGCAACAACAATAATAAATTTTATCCTTCAAACGGCAATGGAAATGTTGAATTGGAGAATCTTTACAAATATTACAAAAGCACGGGACAGGTGAGTTGAGTTATTCTTGAAAATGATGTGCAGCAATTAACCTCGACATGGAAATGCCATTGAATAATGCAACAGACACAGACTTTTGACAAATTTTATGATTATTTAAATGAATTGCACAGGTAGAATTGAGATGAATGTTGAGGTCAATGGAATCAAATTTAATGCAGTTTGTTAATGGAATTGTTTAGCTAATGTATGGAACTTGAATAGAGTGGATTTTGATTTTGACATAAATGAAAATATTTAAGCAGCTTCTGAGGTGGGAAAATGGTTGTCACGAATTAATTTGTAGAGCTTTTACAATGTTTTGGACTTTAACGCAGATTATAGTATAAATTAGACACTATTCAATAACATGATGTGGTGAGGTTTACCATAATTTAATGTAAATATTAGAGGAATTTTCTAAATAGAGTATTTGCTTAAATAAGCTGAATTCTTGCTAATTTGAGCTGAATACTTGTTGAACTGCGCTGAAAACTTGCTGAATTGTGCTCAATTCTTCCTAATTTGATGCTGAATACTTTGCTGAATTAAGCTGATTAATTGCTGAATTCTTTCTCAATTACGCTAAATTCTATCTAATTTAAGCTGAATACTTGTTGAACTGCGCTGAAAACTTGATGAATTGAGCTGAATTCTTACTAGTTTAAGCTGAATACTTTGCTGATTGAGCTGAATTCTTGCTGAATTGTGCTCAATTCTTCCTAATTTGATGCTGAATACTTTGCTGAATTAAGCTGATTAATTGCTGAATTCTTTCTCAATTACGCTAAATTCTATCTAATTTAAGCTGAATACTTTGCTGAATTGAGCTGAATTGTTGCTGAATTGTGCTCAATTTTTCCTAATTTGAGCTGAATCCTTTGCTGAATTGAGCTGATTAAAGCTGAATTCTTGCTAAATTGAGCTGAATACTTTGCTGAATTGAGCTAAATAGTAAATTTAACTGCGCTGAATACTTAAACATTCTATTTTAAAAACATATTGCAACCTTAAAACATTAGCATAAGTTTTACTGCATTTTAAAAGAACAGCACAAACTCAACTCTAACAAAGTATCACTGCAATCATCCTACTCCATATTTTCAACCCAATAAACTTTAAGAAACTTATTTAAAAAGTTCTGTAACTCCATACACAACCCACTTAATATGAAAGCATTTGAATATATTAATGTCGTACAGCAAGTAGATTAAAAACAATTTCATTAACCCCCGAAATAACCCGAAAAGGCATCAGCCTGTAAACCTGAAACAAATTTACAATTCATAAGTGTTATTAAATTTTCAATATGATTTCATAATCGGCGCGAATATGGAAATATTCTACATTTATGTTAAGCTCCCCTCACCACATCATCAAGTTCACTTCTTATGTTAATGATAGAAGCTCAAGGGGGAAAACAACAATTTATGAAAAAGATAAAAATTATTTTCAAATCATTTTTTTTGGTGTGTTCTCAAATTTAACAAATATAAATGATGTGGAGTCGCTTTTTTTGTTGCAATACGAATAAATTGTTATTGAATGTGAAATTGACAGTAATCATCACATTACATTCAGTAATTGCATGGATTTTGTTTACAGATTATTAAGCAATTTGTTATGTTTTAAGCTTTAAATGCTTTCTATTTTATTAAATTAGTGCTGTTTAACGTTCGTCAGTCAACTTTAATATCTGAAAGCTTTAAAAATTAATTTATTTTAATGAATTGGAATATTTAATGTGGGAAATGTCAAGCAGAATTGAGTGAGCTTTGATGTTGTGATGATATGCGTGGTTTCGTGGGTGGAACGTAATTTCTGAAGAATAAGTTTTGTTAGGGGCTGTTCAAAAATAATGTTCTCCAAAAAAATTGGATTTTCATAACCCCCCCCCCCCCCCCCTACCCCCTTGTACGAAGAAATTCTCCATTCAAGACATTCCAATAGAATAAATCTGAAAAGTCATCAATTCCGCATCATATTAATGGCATTTTCCAAACCAAATGCTCAACATCAATTTCCCACCAACTCAAAAAAACGAATATTTTAGCACAAAAATTTATCACCAAAAACCCACTCGCAACTTAAAATAATAATCTTCTTATCCCCCCAGATGAGCACACTGAATGCCTTATCATTGAATAATACTCGTCATTCCGAAAATCAAATCATATTCTTCAATCGCGTGCCAAAAGTCGGCTCACAAACATTTATGGAATTACTGCGTAGACTCTCAATAAGAAACAATTTTCGCTTCCATCGTGATGCTATTCAGCGAGTGGAAACTATTCGATTAGCACCGTATCAGCAAGAGGAGCTGGCAGAAATGGTTAGCGAACTTTCAACACCGTCAGGTAAAATTATAATAGGGTAGAAGAATGGAATTGAGTTTGATGTTAAGGGGGGTAACAGCTTGATGGGAAAATTTTTTCACAATTTTTTCCATTTATTTCCGACAACGTCACATCAAATTAATGGTCATAAAATTATTGAAAATTCATAAAAGTTTCCCATCATGTTGTGTCCCCCCTGATTTAATACTATTAGTGTAAAAAGCGAAGTATAAAGGAAAAGTAAGCTTGATAGCGTTTTGTGGGTGTTTTGTATACATTTGAATACATTTTAAGATTACTATTTGCACTGACAATAGATGTTAAAAGTGAATGTATTTGTAGAGAAGCTCTTAATGCTCCTTATATGCTATTTTATGCATAATCCCCTGCTTTTAACTCTTGTTACTTTCTTATTCCCAACATGTATATTTATCTATCTTCGAGAATTGCACAGACGGAAGAATGATGTAATTTATATGTTTATGTTGCAATAAGAAAATGTTCTATAAGTACACCTTGTATGCTACTAGCATATTATATTGATATTTATATTGTATGCTAAGTGAAAAGTTTTACTATTTATTTTACATACAATTCTACAATTTTCTGGTATCTTCTTGAGAATGTTGAATGCCTTTTGCAGTATGTTTTGTACAGATTGGAAGATATGTTTATTTATCAGGAAATTTTGATACGGATGATTTATTGAGGTGCTTCATTGTTGTAGAAATAAAAGAGCATTTTAATTATTGGCTTCATTTTATTGAAGATAGAAGCTTGTGATGTTGGAAACTATGAATATGTTAAAGTTAATGTTATTTTAAGACTGCTGCTGACTTGAATGTCTGGTCAAGTAGAAGTAACTGGTGTTTAAGCAGCTCAGTTTCTGCAGTAGTATATGGCTGTACTTAAATATTGCAACATAAACTTAGCTTTCTGCAGTTCGATTCTCAATAAGATAACTTGTCTTTTGGCAATGAAGTGGTTCAGCTCTTCCTATAAGCTGTAAACCTTTGGCGATGAGATTATAAATAAATCTAAATAAGCTTCAATCAGACAAGACTTCAAAATCTTTATATAGGGGAATCTGGGGTTCATACGTAGAAGAATCTGCAAGTACGATAATTTTGTCTTTGAGACCGAATTTGTAGACAACAGACCAGACACATGATACCCTCTTTTTCGTAAGGACGAGGGTTCAATTCTCAATCATAATGAGCACATATGACATATGATAATCGAGGTTTCACTCTGCTTAGGAATTATAAGAGACAGCTACACGATTAAATAGACATTAATATTTTTGTCCAGATGTCTAGACATAGGGACGTTTCCAGAGGTAGAGGAGTCAGCTCTGTCAATCCTGTCTAGACAGCTAATGATATGATGATGATCTGATCCAGTCTAGAAATCTGAACGAATAGTATATTCTGTCTATGAACATATCAAATTTTAAAGTAGCAAGTAGGTGTCAGTCTACAAATCGTCTATGTCATATTACAGCTGTGCCTTGATAACATGTTGTTAGGTTGTATGCTTATCGTAGACAGTTCTATTGCTTCTCTGACTCAATTTTCATTTGAATAATTAGTTTCAACTTACATTCATTCAAGAAAAATCTCAGCATTAGAAGCAAATGAGGTCAAAGAAGTCCAAATCCTCTTACATCCCATGCAGTAATGCAAAAATTATTTTCACAAAGCTGAAAAATTTCTTACTTTTTTAGCATCTTTTTCTTAGATTTATTTTTACAATCAATTTACTATATACGAAAATTCATGCATTCATGTGTGAATCCTCAAATCATCTTACTTGAAATAAATCTTCTCGAAATTCTTTTCTTTTTCTCGTTCTGTTCTGTTCGCTGTTTCACCATAAATGGTTTCATGTTACCTGCTAGAAGCGTGGGAAACAAAAAATCTCGAATTTCGGGTGATATAACAAGCTTTAAAGCACATAAAGAGAAGAGAATGAGGGATGAATATGTATATATAGTAAAATAAAATAAAAAGCAGCACAAGTTTTACAGTACTGAATATTATATAGTACAAATTTCCAATTCCGCTAGCTCTTTAAAACATAAAATATATAAAATGTACAGCAATACATACATAAAAATGTTCGCAAATTGTAGCGACGAAATGGAAAATGTGTTCCATTAGTTGCATGTTTTATGGCAATAGGATTCTCTTCACAATTTCCTTTTATTTCGCTCTTTCACGTTTTTCAAATATTGAATGGAAAGATAAGTGCAAAGAAAATGCAATTTTCTGCTATCGTATTAAAATAAAACCTCTATTTTCAGTGTATGTGAAGCATGTTGTTTATACGAACTTTACAAAATTTAAATTACCAACGCCAATCTATGTTAACTTGGTTAGAGATCCAATCGAAAGAGTCATCAGTTGGTTTTACTATATTCGAGCTCCATGGTAAGATATGTGCATATATTTTTTTTTGTCCCAACGATTTTTTACTAATGTAGAGGTGTGGAAACATGGGAATTAGATTTTTTGTGATGACTGTTGAGTTTAATTCTGGCAAAAAAAAAATTTATGGCTGAAAATTTGCTATAATTCTGGCAAAACAATTTTTGTGACTGAAAATCAACAACTAAAATTCATTCAAGCCAAAAATTATGACACAAAATTTTTAATGACTGAACGTATGCCATAAAGTTCTGGCACAAAAAAATTCTGGCTTAAATTCTGCCATAAAGTTCTGGCACAACAACTTTTCTGGCTTAAATTCTGCCATAAAGTTCTGGCTCAACATTTTTTCTGGTTGAAATTCTGCCATAAAGTTCTGGCGCAAACATTTTTCTGGCTTAAATTCTGCCATAAAGTTCTGGCACAACAGTTTTTTTGGTTTTAATTTTCCCATAAAGTTCTGGCGCAAACATTTTTCTGGCTTAAATTCTGCCATAAATTTCTGGCACAACATTTTTTCTGGCTGAATTTCTGCCATAAAGTTCTGGCACAACCATTTCCTGGCTTAAATTCTGCCATAAAGTTCTGGGATAACAATATTCTGCCTGAAATTCTGCCATAAAGTTCTGGTACAACAGTTTTTTGGGTTAAATTCTAGCTCAACAACTTTATTTACTTTTACAAATCATCCAAATATCCTTCTTAGTCATCCACACCTTGTTCTCTGAGCTCAAAGTAATTTACCTTATTTGTATATCATCTCATCATCTACATATACTCGTTTTTTTTCGTTGAATTATTAAAGGTATTACGTGGAACGTAAGCAAGCATTTCCGGACTTACCATTGCCTGACTCACACTGGTTGAGAAAGGATTTTGAAACATGTGTTTTGCGAGGCGATCCCGAATGTACATACACGCAAGGTGAATCTCACGAGGGTATTGGAGATCATCGCAGACAGACACTGTTTTTCTGTGGACATGAGGATGAGTGCACGTAAGTGGAGAAATGATATACTTGAGTATGTATTTATGAATAATGATGATATGTTATTATGAAAATGTTAGGCCATTCAACACGAAAGGAGCACTTGAAAAGGCGAAGTATAATGTTGAGACACAATATTCCGTTGTTGGTGTACTTGAGGATTTGAATACAACACTTGCTGTGCTGGAGAAATATGTACCACGATTCTTTGCGGGTGCAACAGAAATTTATTACAACGAAATTAAAAACTTTAATAAAATTAACAAAAACAATTTCAAGCCACCTGTAAGCGAGGAAGTAAAGAATCTTTTACGGCAAAACTTCAGTCGCGAAATTGAATTTTACAAGTTTTGTAAGCAACGACTGCATAGACAATTTTTGGCAGCAAATTTATTGGATTTAAAATAATTGTGATGAAGTTTATGTGAAAAATTATTTTTTGTAAATAGACGCAAATTTTCCCGTTCTTTCATGAAAAACTTTTTGCATTCCATATTCTATAATATATACTGTATACCGCTTATTTTCTAATTTTACTGCCTTTTAATACGATTGAAACTTTTCCTTTTGAGCGGTTTTCAATTTTCATGTGCACATATTATGTTTAGGAAAATTTATAAATTGAATTAAAATTACTAATTTTTTGGAAAACTAAAAGTTTTTGGAACTTCAAATAAAGTTTAAATTACTTTCAAAATTCATAATTGCTTCTTATCAGGGGCGTAGCTAAGAATTTGAAGGGGGTGGGGGGAGGGGGGTCAATTAGTGTGAAAAATTGGAGGGGGTTTAAGATTTTTCCATAAAAATCTTAGCAAAATGAAGATGTTTTTAGCTGACGTAGGAATTTGAGTGCCCCCTCTTAGCTACGCACTTGCTTTCTTATGCATTATATAAGTCCCTTGCTGTGAGATTGTAATGATTTGATCTAAACATTTAGAACCGTGGTTAAAGAAAGGATTAGAACCCTTCTCGATGAAAAAAATTCTTTAATTTTCTAAGGTCGATGACGTGGCCAGGAGAGGGCTCTTCGCGTGAAGCTTTTGATTACTAAAATTGCGAACAGCTTTGAATCCATAAAATTAGATAAAAATAGAATTGAATTCTCAAAATTGAACCAAAATTTGTAAAATTGGCTTAATTTTGTATGTCGACAGTATCAACAAAACATCAAGGGAATTATGCAACAGCCTACATTTAATAACTGAATACATGAATGGTAAAAACCATGACAATCTAAATGATTTTATGTCTACTGAAAATAATATTTTATGTAAATAGAGAAATTATTTCAATAATGTTGAAAATGAGAATTTTTGTTTGTTAAAATAGTTAATAAAAATTTATATTTGTTCATAGAATTAAAGCATCCAAATGAGTTTTCAATTCACAAGCTTTTAATGATTATTTTTCAGTGAATGATTTTATTATTTTACAGAATTTAATTAATGAAACATTGTGGAATGCCTTTGAGGAATTTATTTAAAATTTCCATTGAAACGAAATTTTGACTTTTTAATGTAGGATTGTTCAATTATGATGTCTATGAAATGATTGAATTTTTAGACTCCCTTTAACTTGGTCTAAATTACCATCACCAATCTATCTTCACTTGGTTAGAGATCGAATCGAAAGGGTCATCACTTTGCTTTACTATATTCGAGCTCCATGGTAAGGGATGATGTAGAGGCGAGGAAGTATGAAAAATCGATTTTTGTGATGACTTTTAAGCAAATATTCTTGAACAGCAATTTATTAGTTTTTTTGGTTTTAATTTTCCCATAAAGTTCTGGCACAACAATTTTTCTGGCTTAAATTCTGCCATAAAGTTCTGGCACAACAGTTATTCTGACTTAAAATTTGCCATAAAGTTCTGGCACAACAGCGGTGAAATGGCATCAGTGACCTAAATGGTAGAGCGTTGGCCTTACGTGCCAAAGGTCCTGGGTTCAATCCCAGGCCATATCTAATTTTCGAAGCTCTTTTTCCATTTCACCGTTCTAGTTACGAAGCTCGGTTCGTGTGTTGGGTGTAGTTTTGAGGTCTTTGGCACAGAATATGCCTCCTTTGCTAGGTGTACAAGGATATACTAGCATCTGGATGACTTCCTTACGGCATCTTGCGCTCACGGATTGTGACTAGGTACATTGCAGGGTACATCAGGTCTTATGACGTACTCGTGTCTTTGCAATGTACAGAGCTTGCAAGTGGTTCGGATCCCACTATAAGCTGTAGGTCTAAAGGGTGTGGTACAATAGATTCTGTTCTAATTTGAATCGCAGTGCCTCCAGCTGAAAGGCTGGGCCTTTCACACATTATATATATATCTGGCACAACAGTTTTTCTGGTTTTAATTTTGCCATAAAGTTCTGGCACAACAATTTTTCTGGCTTAAATTCTGCCATAAAGTTCTGGCACAACACATATTCGTTATCGTGAAAATTGTATGAATCTAAGTCATATCAAAAACACTATTAATGGAACAACTGAATGGATAAATTCTTTTAAATCAGTTACTCAGCCATATAGCTCTTGCATCAACAGATTCGGTAACTACAGTTTTACAATTCCACCTCAAGCTATGACAGCCCTTTTGGCATTAGCCAATCAATGAAGCTACAAATATTCTGTCTAAGTTTGGTCAATGCAACCACACTAGTAACGAAAGATTTAATTAAAATTATTGCATTGATGCACAAAATGTGCAAACAAATGACTCTAAAACTTCCAAAGCTTACCAGCATCTCCATAAATTATGTAAATCTAAAAGTTTTTCAATATAAATGAGCACCAAAGTTCAACATGATCAAAAATCTTGATATGTAAGGATAAAGTTGAGAGATTTTTGCCAAGCGTGTACGTAGCTTGGTAGCCAGGGTTTATTGAAAAGAATTTTCGAAAAAATAAGTAAAAGTCGAGAAGACATAAGTTGGCTATGGTACAATAACCCAAACATCCTACATCCCTCACTATAGTTTCTACGAGCTATAAAATCAAATAAATTTTATTACATAAATTGCAACTGTAAATTTTGTTTACATGAATAGGTGAATCTGGTTGTAGAAAATATTATTTTCATGCTTTGATAATTATGATTTGTAAATGAATCTACAAACATGAACTAGTATGCAAAATAAATAAATGTGTTATAACATAATCAGATTATACGAACCAGAGTGTGATGAATTTTCTTGTATTTCTGATTTCAAAATGTTTGCTGTATGCAGCCAGCTATATGCACATATTTGCATAGAATTTATTTGAATTAAAACTATTTAATTAACTTAATTATGTTAAAATTCAATTTTTTACACCAGAGACTAAGTTCATGTAATACACATACAGGATTGAATTGAATTGAAAATGCTTCCGGGATGAGATTGTAAATATTGATGCAGAAATTGTTAGGAAAGTTTGTAATTAATTAACATTTGAGTTTTCACAACTTGAAATTTTAATTGACGATTTTGATGATGATTATGTGCTTTATAGTTGTAAAGCTATTGCGGTATATCCAGAATATATGTGAATATTAAAGCTTAACTAGCCAGATTTGATAGGAATCAAACATGAGTTCTCTAAAAAGATGATTTTGATGTCCTTAGTATGAGATCCTTGCCATTGCCCACTAAGGAGCTTACTTAACTTCGGCTTTGCGTCATACATATACAATCAGTAATACAGCAATCTTTAAGCTTAGGTTAAGGATGCACAACTGATCAAACTTGGTTATAATCATTTTTGATTAGTTTTGAACAGTTCCTTAAACTTGGAGCAGGTCTATCAACTTTAGAAATGCTTTTTGCAGCCATATCTTGAGTTGTCAAAGCTTTTATGATCATAGACACCTAGATTGACCTTGACTTGATCAAATTATGTTCAGACATACAATATAAATATTCATCTAGCTGCACTACTGTCAAGCTGCTACTATATGCACCATGATTCAATAAGGAAGTAAGTTCAAGTCTCAAAAACACTTAATTTCCATATTACATAAGCTTACTTTTCATTAATTCTGACATTTAAACTGAATAAGGTCCCTACACATGCTTGGATTATAAATTTCAATCAACATCTAAAATCTAAAATATATTGCATGCTATAAATCATAAATAAATTTCATTTAAATCTGATTTATGTTGTGATAAATTAACAAGGCACTTATGTTTTAAATGCAAGCCTCACATCCGACCTCGTTAATACATTTCATAAACAACCTTCCTTTTTTAAATGTAGCATATTAATATTTCTAGCGATTTGTTGATGAAAGATGATCAATCTTTTCACTTATTATAGCTTCATTTACCCTTCAATGGAGTCATAAAGTTACCGCTTGAGCAGTGCTTAAAAATTATATTGCCATAAAGTCTTCCTGTGAACTTAATTTTAGCCATTTTCAGCAAAACGAAATTTCCGATTTTTTTTCTTCTAATTTAAAGTTTGTTTCCTAATAAATGTTCAATTTATGTGGATGACTGGATGTCGACTGGATGATTTTGTAGTAAAAATTATTTTGGAGTAAAAAAAGGCTATGTTTGTCCTTTTTTATGCTGGAATAAATGATTAGGTTTTGATGAGTCTGTCATAGTTCTGAAGAGGTAGTCAATGCTTTGAGGGGTCTGTCAAGGCTTTGAGGAATCTGTTAAGGCTTTGAGGGGTCTGTCAAGTCTTTGAGGAGTCTTTCATGGCTTTGATGGGTCTGTCATGGATTTGAGAGGTCTGTTAATGCTTTGAGGGGTTATCATGGCTTTGAGGGGTCTGTCATGGCTTTGGGAATCTGTCAAGGCTTTGAGGGGTCTGTCAAGGCTTTGACGGGCTTGTCATGGCTTTAAGAGGTCTATCATGGCTTTGAGGGGAATGTCAATTCTTTGAGGGTCTGTCATTGCTTTGAGGGGTCTGTCATGGCTTTGAAGAGTCTGTCAAGGCTTTGAAGAGTGTGTCAAGGCTTTGATGAATCTGTTAAGGCTGCTAAGGTTTTCAAGAACTTAGCTTAGCTTTGAAGAGCCTATCAAGGTTCCTATAAGTATCCCACACCTTTAGAAATCTAGTATAAACTCCAAAATGTCTATCAAACCCACTTCAAAAATGCGCCCTATTCCCCACTGAACAAAAAATTTCCTTACTTGTCATTTCCCACGCTACTGAAAAAAATGAAAAAGAGGAAAAACTTTAAAAGTATTTGAATTAGTGCAGATATTTGAAGAAAAAGAAGCTATCTCATTTCTGTCGTGATGAAATTTTCTCTAGAAAAAAAAAATCTCAAATTTTTCTATGTCATGCTACTTTTCTGATATGGAGATGACAATTTTTCCTGAAAATTATGTTCATTCCGTACTATTCTGATAATAATCTTCTCCTCCTTAATGCATTTGATGCACATTCCTTATAACTTCTCATCATCCACATAATCATCATCATATTATTTTTAATATCAAGTGTGGAATTTTTCCGATG